TGTCAACAATGACATGGACATACTTAAGATTACCAAAGGAGTTATAATGGGTGACATCCATTTGCCAGAAGTCATTGGGTAGGAGACCACATGGGTTAACTCCATATCGATTGAGGGGGCAAGGGAGCAAGGGGTGCACATGTAATGCAAGATCTTCTCAGATTTTTGCATTGAGAGATGGGTAGGTCAGGTAGGAGCAGGTGCAGACTGCAATGAAAAAGGTGAAATTGTTGGTGTAAGGTTCTAGCTTGTTTTAGTAGAGGAATCTCTACAGACATAATAAGTTTATCTACTTTGTCATTTTTCTTTGCCAAGATCCCAGGGAGCTTGGTGTGTGATCTTATGTGGGAGATGTGCCAAGGCCATTGTCTGTTATCTAAAATAAACTGGAGAGCTCTCATTGTTCTAGTGATGGGATCCTTATGGCCTTTTACTCAAGCAAATGGAAGACATCTGAGGGCCTGAACTGCATACTGGCTGTTGGAGAATATATTGAGTGGCTCAGTCTGGTAGACTTGGAAGATTTTTAACAAGGCCTGGAGGTCCTGCAACTGGACAGAGCTGGGATTGGCTTGTATGTAACAGGTGTCATCCTTTCCCATGAGCTTAATGACAGTGCCATAACAGGACTTATTGGCATCTGAGGAGGCAAGCGTGGCTAAAGGTAGGGGGTTTTTGCAGGGGGAAGTGTGTGGCTGAGTGGTGATTTCCAAACAGGCCACGCTGGCCAATTGCTTATCTGGGGGTGCATGGCTATCCAACTCCTCCATGAACCCAGACATCATTAGCTGGAAAGCCAGAGAGTCTGCCCATAATGTTTGGGAATGCTTAAGAGGAAAGGGCAGTATAATTTTGTCAGGTTCTTTTCCGAATATGCACCGGGCTGTTTGTTGGGCCTTAATTGCTAACTTGAAGGCAATATCATACTTAGAGCTAAGCCTAGTTAGGTCTGAGGTAGCCAGGTAATATCATCCTTAGAGCTAAGCCTAGTTAGGTCCAAGGTAGCCAGGTGGATCCACACCAGGAGATCTTGCTGCCAAAGCACCCCCAAGACACCATTTTTAGTCCAGAGGGTCAACTTCAGTAATGATTCTGCTGGGTCATGACATCGGAGTGATGCAGATCAGAGTATATGATCTATCTTATTAAGAAGATCCTTAGCTGACTGGGTAAGGGGGATCCTTGAAGTTAGTGAATTATGGCCTTCTAGCAGGGAGAACAAGGCCCAGAATTCCAAGTCAGAACGGGTATAAATTGTTTGAGTCAGTTTATAGTCCCACAGAGTTCTTGGAGCTCTGTCAAAGTATACACAGTTTTTTGCAAGATGGAAGTGTTAAGTGGATTAATTACTGTACTACGATATGATGGGATGGGGGATAGCTGTAGAGTGTGGTAAGCACACTTGTAGCAGGCCCATCTTTTCCATCTGGGCATTGACTGCTCTAAGATCTTGGAGGAGTCTGTATTTTCCCAATTTCTTTTTAATAACAAATATTGGGGTATTATGTTTACTGAGAGAGGGCTTGATGTGGCCAAGCCTCAATTGTTCAGCTACCAAATTTTTGAGGGCAGATAATTTAGGTTCTATTATAGGCCACTGGTACACCTGTTGGTTAAGGCCTTATTAACATATAATTGACAGATTGTGGGGCTATTTTTCATACCCTGTGGTAGTACCTTCCATTGGTATCTCTTGGCTATTCTTTCAAAGTTGGGCTCCCATACTGTGTCTATCTTGTTCTGCTAAGGGGATTTGGAAGAAACAATCTTGGATATCAAGTACTATGATATGATGGGATGGGGAGATAGCTGTAGGGTGTTGTAAGTCCACTTGTAGCGAGCCCATCTTTTCCATCTGGGCATTGACTGCTCTAAGATCTTGGAGGAGTCTGTAGTTCCCTGATTTCTTTTTAATAACAAATATTGGGGTATTATGTTTACTGAGAGAGGGCTCGATGTGGCCAAGCCTCAATTGTTCAGCTACCAAATTTTTGAGGGCAGATAATTTAGGTTCTGTTATAGGCCACTGGTCCACCCAAATGGCATCATTAGAGAGCCAGTTGATGGGGATCAGCTCAGGGGCCAAGATTGGAGTCAATCCTGGGTGGGCAGTGGCCGTTAGGATTGGGGGTGTTGGGCAAGGTGTTGTCCTTTCCCTGATAGTCCCAAGTTATCGTGGAGCATGAAATCATCATAAAAGGCAAGGTCATCTGTGGTAAGGACTGTGCCCATGTCCTCTAGGACAT